ACCTATATGTAATAATACCACACAAGAAGAAAGCAATTGAAGCAGTGGAAATGCATCCCTCCCCATAGTTGTTGCCAGTGGCCAGAATACCGTCAACGGCTATGGCACCCATCACATCTAGCCGAAGACGCATGCGAACACGAGAAACCATGCAAGGAACAGAAAGAGCAAACAAGCTCATTAGATACATGAGGTGTTTGCTCTCGAGTGCGCGGCGCTTACGCGCTCGGTCCGCTGGCTCCAGCACCGCCAGTGCATGCTGCGCCACAACAGCCAATCCGACGACGAAGAAAACGCCGAAGCCGAAACAAGCGCGGCCGTTCATTCTCTCAGCCTTCAAGTGGTAAGGGTAAATAAGAGCCTCAAGTCGCCGCAGAAAACGACCTTCGTGCCGTTACACGGCACTCGGAAATGGTGTGGTTGTTCAAAGAGATTCCTGCAGCAGAGAAGGAACTCCCCCACTCCACTTCTTGGTAGGTGGGAGCGCGTGACAGGGATGATTCATGAGTTGAAAGAACAATGACGGAACATGCAAACACATGAATAGGCTGATCGTTCCCATGGAATTTTTCAACTCCTCCTGTCCCTTGGAATCGATGATCAACGATAAACGAAGTCAAATTGCCATGGCAGCTATGGCCGCCATCCACATCACCTGCACGCACAGCGTAATTTTCTACACTTGTTAAAGCCGCTGTTTTTAGACTTTCTTTCGAGAGTCGAATGCCGCCAAACCCACATTTACCACTCCCCTGGACTAGAATGTTGGTCGTTGTATGCTTTTTCACGCTGTGTCCTTTGTTCTGCGGTGGTGTTCTGTCGTTGCATTCGAGAAGGGACAATCACATTTCGTCTCATGGGCCTTCTCCCCGAATTCATTCGCCGGCGCCAATGCTGGAGTATTTCATGAAGGACGTGCCTGATGCAGATAAAATCGAGGCGATTCCGGGACATGGACGTGCTGGAATGATTGCCATCGTCACAATTAGCTGGTACAACGGCACAAAAAGTGACGCAGCTGCTTGGAAAAACAGCTTGACACTCTTGCAGCGATACTGTCAGGTTCGCACGAGCCACGCACCCAACAAGACTTAATTTCTGTACTGTCCTTCAGAAATGGGGCTATACACTGATTGCAGATATAAAAGAACCTACGTTCGAGACATATCGAAGCTTCGATATGTCTCGAGCGACGGATTCCGTCATCAAACGAAAACTGGAATTGGTGTCTCTCCTCTTAGACAAGGGATATCAAACTGTTGTGTGGAAAGATGCGGATGTTATCATCATGGACTGCAACATTTCTTTGAAGTCAGTATTCAAACAATGTCCTAACAAAGACTCCATCTTTTTCACAGAAGGCGCCAGGTGGAACCGTGATATCTGTGCTGGCACGTTTGTTGTCCATAATACCGCCTTCTCAAGGAATCTTCTACAGAAGGCCATCAAACTTCGGCAGCGTACTGAAAGAAGAAGCGACAATCGGTCTGTTGATCGCGTACTTCTCTTGGAAGACCTCTCCCTTAATGAAGCGGCCGCTACGTATGCGAATGAAATTCTCCGTTCGAAATACAGCTGCTTCTTAAGAGTCCTAGCAGGAGATGCTTGCTGTAATTGTGGAGGCTGCACAACAGCGTGCAAGAAAAAATTCATTCCTCAGGAGGAGCGAGATAATATGTGTCTGCTCATTCACGAGAAGCTCGCAGCCGTTTCTTCTGGGGTCGCCACAGAAGGCCAAATAGCACAGCATGTGACTCATGCGACAAAAGAGCGTACAAAAAAACTGGAGCATCTGTCTGCTCTCAGTACTTGCGGCGTCCCATATTCTGAAGGGAAAAAACTGCACATCTACAGTGTCGTCCCTGCCTCAAAAATGGAGCACTTTTGCCAAACCACTGCTTTGACTCATGCAGCATGCTTCCCTTTCGGTATCCCCATATCTGTCTTGTCTGTGCAAGACCCTTTGGAAGCTCTTGCAGCTGTGCACGACGAAATGGCGCGGGGCCACAATGAGAGTCGAGAAGCCGACGAGAGTCTTTCTAATGGTGATGTTTACCTTATTCTCAGCCCCTCAGTGTGGTTTCAGGCAGACGCAGCAGAATTCCTAAAGACCTATCGGTCGGCTTTTCCCAGCGACGCAGTCGTTCTGCCTCATTCTGGGAAGCACCTGTCGGAAACAGCTGATAAAACGGCGTCGCTAGCGTCTCAGATCTTCCCCCTTGTTGTCCCAACGACACGCATGCAGGCTTTCAGAAGCCTTATCGAGAATGTTAAAGCAGGTACCCTGAACGCGACGCTAGAGCAGGACGTCCATGTCGACTACAGCAACAAGCTCTCCCGTAGCAGCGATGTTGCATCATTCGTTGCCACTTCTCCGCCCCTATTGGTCCACTCCCTCTATGCACCACCTCCAACCACAGAGTTGGAGTGGAATGCCGAGAAATTCACGAGGTTCGTCTATGTCAACAACTCTAGCAAGTGGGAGAAGCGAAGATATGGGGACATATGTGACATATGGGGAACATATGTGAAGGATTCCGCCCCAGAGATTCAATGATCGAGTTTTCATGCATCCCTGCTCTACTATCTACAAACACCGAATCCCAGACTGGCTGGTCGGGTGTGTTGCTAGTCACGGATGGAATATCCATCTACACCGTGTCAGATCAGCCAGCCAGCCAGCCGATCCCCTGTCACTACTTTGTCTGCTCCGACTCGGGATGCGCCTCCACCCAACTGCATCAACACACATGTCATGGCATAGTGTATGGATATATGGATATATGGATGGATATCTAATGTGCCGTGCATGTGATGCGTATCGCTGTAGAGGCTTCTTGCCGTCCGGGAACTGCAGAAACTTGATGCGCGATGCCTTCTGCGCGATGCTTCCGCCTTGGCCGCCTGCGGATTCTTGTGCATCCAGTAGCGGATTCTTGTCGATCCAGTAAAGTCGTAACTGATGGAACATGATCGAGGAGAAACGCATGGGTTTCCACACACGGTATCTTCTGTTTGTAGCTGTTTGTCTCAATCTTCCCCCTCCCCCCATCATGTATCGTAAGCTTTTTTGGTCTGCAAAAAAGACCTGCCACTTGCGACGTGCACGACGGTGCTCCCCGTCTCTATTTGCCGGCTCCAGGGCCCGTTACCGTAACCAACGGACCAACGACATTCGATCCGCGAAATTCTGTAATGTGCCCCCGATTTTTCATCTGAGCGCTGGCCACTTGAGACTTACGGACGCATTGATTGGACACACCATCTGCCCTGAGGGGCCGGGGCCTCGGTGCCCGTTAACGAACGAACGAACGAACGTCCCTTTCCTATCGCCTTCCGTTACGCCCGGGCCCCTACCCCCTCGTAGCCGTGCGTCGACCCGCGTTCGCGGGGGTTCCATCGAACTTGAGACAAGTCAAACTAGTCCTCTGTTTTTTCTGTAGGTGATTCCGATGCGGTTCTGCTTGGACACGTCAAAACGTCATTGCCGTAACGTTGCGTGAGCTCCAGCAGATCTCGAGGTGGCTCTTCCGATCTTAAGCACGCTCCCAACCATCATTCACGAGGCAGTCAGAGTCAGCGCATCAGTGAGTAAAGCCAATGGGCGCGGTGAGCGCTTCTAAGGAACTGACTCGCCTTGTCTTGCCCAGTGGGCGAGCCACAGCAAAAACGTCAGGCCCAGTCGCATTCTTGTGGGCGGCTCCACCAACCGCACACACGACACGGGCACTGAGCATGTATAGTATAAGCCACGTCAGGCTTCCTATGATGGTACACGTCAAATGTAAAATGTAGAGGCACTCAGGTGGTAAGGGCAGCAATGCTTGTCATTCTTCTCCCGCTCCGCGTGTCGGCAGAGATGTGACATATAGTCGCTCTTGAGGAGGGAGCGGGTGGCTCGATGGAGAGAGATGCACATGGATAAATAGAGCTCGAACTTCATCAGTTGGAGTGCAACTGGCTGTCTCAACCTTTCTAGTCTACGCACCAGTTGAGCAGTCTGTCCATGGCAATTCAACGTGGACTCGAATGTAGGCATGTCTCTTTGACCACCCACGAAAAGCTATATATATATATGGAGAAAACGCCATTGCAATTGCATCTTTGAAGTGTGTTGCTGGTCGGGGTCTATGCCGGACACTCGAAGCGCCCTCAATTTGTCTGGTTGCGAAGCTGCTACCAGCCCGATGCTAACACAGACAGAGTGGACCAGCAAGTGAATCTTCATGTACAGGAGATGTCGTAAACGGAACGGAGAAGCTTTGCAGCTTGGGCAGGGGGAAGCTCCGCTACGCGATCCTCACACTAGGACGTGCTTCGGAAGCTCCGCCATAGACAAAACCCAGGAACCCTAGACAAGAAGCGACAGAGAATCACCCTTGACCTCATCGCCAATTGCCGACATCCAGTGCAGCAATTGTTCCATTCGTTTTTCATCGTTTCGACCTCCCTGTGTTGATCCCCATAGTCAGCACAGGCAGATTCAGACCAGTTGTTGTGAGCAGCAGCTAGGTGTGTGCACCATGTGTCACGAGTGACACGTCGTGTGTTCGTGCGTTCTTTCGTCGTTCGCCGTCCAATCGTTCGTTTATTCGTTTGTTTGTACTCGTCTGTGAGACAGACAGGCAGTCGTTGATAGGACCAGTCCCCCGTGTGTGCGAACAGAGATAGCTTGAGCCTTCAGGAAGAGAAACCTTCACACATCCAACCGAACACTCACTCTCACTCACCAGCAACACTTCATGCAGCATCCTCGAGCTTTGTCCTATTGCTCATGATCATAGCACATTGGACACAGACACCGCGAGACAGAACGCGGCAACAGGACGTAGAAACATCGTGCCGAATGTTTCCGATAGTCAAGGACCACTTGTCACATTGGACACAGACACCGCGAGACAGAACGCGGCAACAGGACGTAGAAACATCGTGCCGAATGTTTCCGATAGTCAAGGACCACTTGTCACATGGACGGCTCGTGGGTATGGGAAAGAAGAAGCAAAAGAGAAAAGAAGAAGAAAGAAAGAAAGAAAGAAATGAGAGAGAGAGAGAGAGAGAGAAACACGCACACACCAGCCGGCTTTAATAATTCGCCAAGACCGTGTTGTGTACACGAATTGGTGAGTTTCTGTCCCACTGGTGAATCATTCATTCGGACTTCAGACGAAAAAAAGCTGTCTTACACATTCGTGCGCCGGCTTCAAGTTGGCATGTCGACTCGCGCAGAAACGCTCAGACAGGCGGGACGCGTTCCAGACGCAGATGCCCGACCAGTAGCGTCGCGCAGTGGTCAATCCAGTCAGGACTCGCCCCTTTGGGAAGGTTCTAAATAATAGATCATTTTCGAATGATCCTGGTTTACATCTGAATCATCGATGAAGACATTTCCTACCTTTGTGGACCTGTTCCTGTTGCAATGTGTCTGTCTGTGTCTGTGTGTCAGCTGCAATAGTTATCCTCCTCCCAGGCTGCGCCGCGGCCGCCCGTCCTCCCGCGGTGTCGTCTTGAACCACAGAAGACACAAACACAATGATATCCAAGAAACCAACAGCAATTCTGCTGACTTGGAGGCCTTGGAACGCCACATGGAGGTGCCATTCTACATATATCGAACGCCGGCAATGAAAGCGCTGTATCGGATGTGTCAAGAGAGCGCACGGAATATCCTTGAGGGGCGCTGGCCTGCACTACTCCCGCTGGGGGACAGGAAGAACGTTGACGAGATATACTGGCTGGACCAGTTGTGGAACGATTCTTGGAGGACGTCTGACCCTGACAAAGCGCTCGTCTATGTCCTCCCAATCTATCCGGGTCTGTCTACACATAATGAGGGAGACACGTACAGGATTAATTCATTCATTCATTTGCCTGCAGTGTTGCTTCTTCACAACTCATGCAACGACAGAAACAGAACGAAAGCCCACGACTTAGCAGCAACGGCTGTCAAGGAGGTGAGAAAGTATAAGTGGAAATATGGGCACCAGTCAGATGTCCAGGTGATGGAGACGCCACAATGGAAGAGGAACGGCGGACTCGACCACATCCTGGTGGTGAGTGATCGTTGGCCCCCGCTCATGACAAGCAATGTTCGAATAGTGTATTGATTGACCATGCAGGCGAGCGACTGGCGCTTTAATTATCCCTTCGATATGACGAGAGTATTGGGGGAGTCATTCGCGACATTTGCGAAGAACATCACGCAGGGGCGGCACCTTGTGGACAACCGTAAGGAAGTGAAGGAGAAAAGCCAGCTAGCTGTGATCTACATCTCGGCCAACAGACAGAGGCCTCTTCGGATGTGCTGTCACGATACCCCACACGTATGAAAATCCTACGCAACTCAATGCATCGATGACTGGTTGTGTATGCCTGCATTCAGGTCTTCGCTGACGCCACTCCATCAGGCCTACCAGCCTTTTGAGAAGGAAAGCCTGCTGAGGCGTGGGCTTATCAAACCTACCGACGTCTTTGAGGATGACCGACTTGCCATGGCTTTCAACCCTCCATCGAGACACGACTGGTTCGAACGCGACTACACAATGTTCTTTCAAGGTCAGACACGGGCAACGCTCAACTCGGCCATCTGCTGTGGTTGAGTGTTGTAGGAAAGGTATATCACGACCGTCCGTATCGAAAGCTGGCCTTCGAAAGCTTGGCGGGTTGGCACTATAAATTAAAATCCTGCCCAGATTGTGCACCAGGGACCAACGTATTTGTTGCAACCGGCGACGTCTCACAAACGAAGTTTCCTTTTTGCCCCCGGAGAGCTAAGTATGTCGGAATGCGGATAGGCAAGTTTGAGCGATGCGAGGCTGTAACAAAGGGTCGTCAAGAAAGGCTGTCTGAGACGTCGGTTTTCATTCACCGCCTGGCCAGCTCCAAGTTGAATCTATGCTTTCGGGGAAGAGATGTGACGAGCTCGAGGGTCGTTGACGGCTTTGCAACTCGCACGATTGATGTTTTAATCAGCGACCTAAACGATATGTATAAATACGCCATCCCGCTCCAATGCGAGATCCCATGGAAGTATTGAAAAAAAGGCAGATTTGCACTTGATGCTTCCAATACTTGGCTCCCCTTTGTGTTGTGAGCAGGAACCTGACCTATTCGATCGAGGGCTCTGTCTTTGAGCAGAACCCTCGCGCAGCGCTGAAGCCGATCTTGGATGAGCTCTACAAGGACCACCGAGCCGTAACAGAAAAGCTGCGAATGATGGACTACTACAGCAAGAAACTTCTCTGGGACGCCCCAAATAGCGAGACAGCAAGAAGTGTGCTCCGCGCAATGACACGACAATGTCTCACTGACAAGACAAAGCTCGACTATATCAAAAGGACCAGCAAAGATGGTAGGCCAGCCATACACGCAGAAAGATACACAACCGACGATTGGGATCTCTCTGTGGGTGAAGGTACGGCGGCGAATGTGCGAGATCATGCTTTGTTCTCCGAGTGTGCATTCGTCGACACATCAGCAAAGCTAGAGGAACAACGGAAGCCTTGCATGACCGTTCACTGGATGCATGGAATTATTCCTGAGTGAGGCCGTCGAGGTGGTGCGGAAAGACACAAACATACCCTAGTGGTTTACCGCCACAGTATTTATCTGTACAATAAACGTATGAATCCACAGACCAGTGTCAATACCGAACGCCTGTACAATCTAATAATTCCATGCATCCAGTGAGGGGGCGTCTGGAACGCGTCCCGCCTGTCTGAGCGTTTCTGCGCGAGTCAACAAGAGGGCGTATGGTCTGCATTCACATCAGTGACCACTTGTGCTTGATTCGATGTCAAGGTACAGTTGGTACAGCACAGCGCTCCGCAGCAGTGTCGGGCGTGTCACCCATACTGGATTCGGGTGACGGACGCGCACCGCACAGATACACACGTACATACATATGCAATGAATGGATTGGCCTCGTCTTGTGCACGGCCTGGTTCAGGTGGGTTGGCAACGGCCGCTGGTCATGGGTGAGTGCACTGAAGAACGAAGCCCGTGATGGCATGTACCCTCCCTGACGTCCCATTCATTCCCGAGTTCATTCTTCGTTCGTTTGATCTGGCCATCCCAATTCGATGGGCATCGCATTACTGGTCTATGGGACATTGTCGCTGTTGATATACTGGTCTATGCATTCACATTACTGACTCCATGTAATTGCATAATGTCTCAGATGAGCGCATCTACCCTCAGTGACCTCAGCATGTCCATTGATCAAATGGATTGCCTCCCGCTCTTTTCGAGTCGTTGTGGGCCTTGAGGATACAAGAGCAACCGACAATAAATGAAGAGATTTGCTGAGATTTCCTCACCATTGTCGACGCCTGAGATGTGGTTGGGATCGAAGAAGTGCTCTGAAGGGCCAGACGATTGAACTCTGCATCCATGAGGTGAGGGACGCGCATTACTTCATTGGCTCGCATTTCCCCGAGTGTTCTTCGCATCATACCTCCAAGCAGATCATGAAACATCGCCGGCTGCTCTCCCTGCTTGGCCTGCTGCTGCTGCTGCTGCTGAAACATCTTGCTGGACGGAGTGAGAGACACGGGCGTCACGTCGGCCGGAGACTGCCCCATTCGCCCCGACTGCATGCCGATCACGTGTGACGCTGCCGGGCCCGCTCCCATCGTCTGCGCAAAATGTGCCATGCCCATGGCGTAAAGGCCTCCATTGGTCCGCGGGCTGCTGACGGAGAAGGGGTTTGAGGGGTCGGGCGCCACTGATGTGGGCAGCATTGACATCGAACCGCCAAACCCACCCTGCCAACCATCCCACAACAGATGACGTGTCATTTGGCCAGCTGCCTTTGTGGCTCATCGTACCGTTGTTCCGCAGGGATGAACCATCGCCTGCTGGATGCCAAGAGCAGTGGGTGTCTGAGGTATCTGTGGCATGCCCGTTTGCGACCCACCCGCCACGCCCATTCCGTGACCCATACCGGTCATTACCACCGACTGGTTCGTCGGCAAAGCGGCGTTCTACCAGACACGGCAACAGGACAGATGCGTGTTGTGACTTTCGTTCTCGCTTATGTGTGCGCGGATTACGAGTGTTGCTGCAGATTGCTGGGCCTTGATTCCATCAATCCCAGCGAACGGGTCCATTGCGTGTGGCCTCATGCCCATGGAGGAGGTCGCCTGCCACCCAATCCCCTGTGACATACCGTTCTGAAGGCCCATGGAACCCATCGAGGACATCCCAGAAAGAGTCATGCCCATCTGTGGCTCCGAGAACAGGTCGACAGGGAGGCTGATGTTGCTCTGCATGGTAGCCATGGGGTTCATCGCTTGCGGGGACAGCGCCATGCTGGGCTGCGGCGCGAGTGCGCCAGTGAAACTCCCCCACCCGTCTGCAGGGGAAGTGCCGGACTTAGCTACATGAGTCGTCGAGAGAGGGGGGCCGGATAAGACATCAAAATCCTCGTCGTCATCGGCTGACGACCTTCGCCCTGAGCGAATGTGTGTACAACCGAAATTGCTTGGTCAGGTGCTCGGACAGTTAAGTGGAATTGTAATCTCACTTCTTCGGTCCTTTCTTGTCTTGTCCTTAGCTCTCCGGGTATGGCGCTTCTCCCCCTCGTCAGAATCGCTCCGCCTCTCGTCATCACCACTGTCATAGTGTCTAAATACCAGTAGCTTTCAATGCTTTGCTTTGCCTGCAACAATCGTCTCACCTCCTGTCCCGCCCGTGTCGGTCCCTTTCTCGTTCCCTCTCACGTCCTCTTTCCCTTGCACGCCTAACCAGACGAACGAACATATGGACGTACAGGTGTCCTCCGTGAAGTTGCGCTCACCTTGCCTCACGCTGTGCCCTTTCCCTTCTCTCGGTGTCGCGTTTCCCCTCCCTCTCCATCTCCCTTTCATATCGGTCATCGTCATCGCGACCCCTCCCCCTATGGTCGCTCGAACCACCACCGCCCCTCACCCACCTGGTCACAATCTCACCTAAGACTGGCGGGTGCGTTGTATGTGTTGTGGGTACCTTTTCTCCACGTATTTGATGCGAATGAAGTCCCGAATCTGAGGAGAGGAGAAGGCAGTGAGGCCACTTCTATCCACACCTGCCTTTGCACAACATCAGCCTGACCTTCTCAATCTGGTTCGCCTCCGGCTCCGGGAAGTCGCGGGGGGTCCAGCGAGCAAGATAGAAGTCATTGGCTTTCTGAACACATCACGTACAGGTACACATACGCAAGCATACACACAGCACACATACGGGAGATGCGGCTCCACATAATGCTGCTCGCGTTGCCTACCTCATTTCCTCCGTTTTCGATGTCTTCGACCTCTTCCGGCGTCCACTTGGACACCGAAACTCCCTTGACCTTGTACACACGCGCACGCACGAACACGAGTGTGGGGAGCGCACAGAGGAGGGGAGTGCACAGAGGATGCATGGCGCAAGGCAGACCACACAGATATTATCTCTATCTGCATGGTTCCTCCCACCTTGTGGTTGAACTCACGACTACCACACACACACACACACACACACACCTCTGACCCGCTCAGCCAGCCAGGTGACCAGTTAAGTCCGTGCCAGCCCCACTGAATACTGAACTGGATTCCCGAACATGTGGTGCAGACAAACGTGAGGAAGTTGTGTGGTAGGATGCAGACATATGAAGGCCCAATCTCCAGACAGTCGGCACTGTTCAGACAAACACCCACAGCCAGAAAACTGTGTGATTCTCGTGGTTTGCCTTGTATTGTTTGTAATCGAGACGTGGCCGTCAGGCCGCCTGCTGCTGTTGCAATCGAGACTAGAGTTGCTGACCATCGTTTGTTGGCCTTGCTTGAGCGTTGAAAGAGCCTGATCCTCTCTATGAGGCCTTTCTCGCTGGTCTTCTTGGTCGAGGTCATCTCGTTCGCGATGTGTTTGAAGCAGCAGCGGTTTCAGGAAGCACCCCGATGTGTTTGAAGGGGGTGTGGGCATACTTACCCCCCATGATTGAGTTGGTGATTTCTCGGCTGTTTCTCCTCCTTTTCGGATGAGCGAGCGTGTATCGGACTACACCCAACCCCCTCCACCT